TTTTTTTTTCAGTTACGAATGTATTGCTAGCGTACCTTCGCAACCACTTTGTTCATAGGTTTAACGTGGTTGTAGACAAATTCATCAAATGCATCAACAAGTGTTTGCAATTGACCGGATGGCATGTTTTGCCTCATAAAAAGCGCAAACGCTGCCTGATGGTATATCCCTCGTAATGTTGATGCACATTGTTGAACGATGTAACGAGTTTCCTCGTTAATGTCGTAGTTTCTGTTGGCAATTTCAATCAGCTCGATCAATCTGCAATTTACAGTGTCGCCTACTGCTTAGACATTTTCCAGAAATGACCTTTTCGACTCAAACCTAAAAAAGCTGTACCTGCATTCTTTTTCAGTTTCTGTTCGCATTTTCTTGTCGTATTTTACCAATTGTACTCCTGCTCCATTGCTATCCGAAGGTTTTGTGATGAGATTTTCTGCTTGGTATACATGCATAGCATCAATTTCGCTGTCCAATTGGTCTTCTATTATTTCTTGGTTGGCATCTAACTCGCTCCATACCTTTGCTAATCTCTTTTCCAATACATCTGAAATAATCTGATAAATTCTATGAGTTTCCAGGGCTGAAGTCAACTCAACCAGCCGTTACCCCATTCATTTAGCCAATTTCTATTTGATTAGAATTTCGACATCAACTGTTCTGTTGATCACTTAAAGCTCTCGTATGCAAGAAAGCGGAAACGAACCGTCGACTTCCTCAATTGGAATGCAGTACACCTCTGCTCCTGTTAGGGGTCTTTGTTTGGTTTTTATATATCGGTCTATCTCCGGTATGGAAATTTGGATCAAATCTCGCAAACGTTGTCCCAGACTGTTTCGTGCTCCACCGCATTCGCTTCCCTGAATCATTTTTTAGTACACATGGGAATAGGTGAACAGAAAAGTTTAATAATTGAAAAGTTTATGTTTGAATTGGTTGGTAATTATTTCAGTGTCAGTTTCTTAGTTTGAATTTCGTCTCTTTCTTTATCGCTGACTAATCCGTTAAATTTACGGGTACGTAGGTGGAAGGAAGTGTATTTTTCTGGTGTAGCTTTCAAAAGTTTGCTTTTCATTTCTAGTTCAAGACCTGAAATTTTTGGAGGCAGTCACGAAGTAAATGAAAGTGACTAAAATGAATGAATACTGCTTTTTAACTCTATAACGCTAGATTTACACTCAGTTTTTAATTACACTTAACCTCTTTTGTGACATTGTCAAGGTAATTACGTATGGGATCGATTTTTCTGTGAAACCGGTTTTACCTCTTGACTTGATCTGCCACCATCTGAACCGCTCAATTGTGCATCTTGGTCTTCGTTACGCAATCGTTTTGCTATGCCGTCAATGAGAATCCGAGCCTTTTCTAATCTGAACTAACTAGATCAATACAAGGCCCTGTAGCTTTCTCGATACTGGCGTACCTCGCTTGTGATGTCTCAGAAACCGATTGGTTTGAAGGCTGGCCGTCGACAGCTATCGAATCGTCGATGTTCGCCCTTTCCATAAATCTCATGCAATTATAGAA